AACGTCTCATCCGAAAGACGGTGCTTTTTGACAGTATAGTGTCCCCGTCACTATACTGGGGCATTAGGACCCACAGACTACAGGGTGAGCACCCCCTGCTGGCCTCACTAACACCTCTTCCAACAGCAACCCAGTTTTCCCAGAAGGTCTCCCATCCAGGTACTGACCAGGGTCAACCCTGCTTAGCTTCAGTGGGCGACCAGTCTTGGGCTGCAGGGTGATGGCAGATGGTCTGTGAACCTTGGCCGCTTTGAATGGCAAGGACCGCCCAAGAGGCCATATGACTGACAGATGAAGCAACCAATCACGTTTCGGTTTGTGCTGCGTCAGGTTTATGGGCATGGAAATGTCCCCACAATAACAGACCATGTGTAAAACTCTTGAACGTATTTTAAAGATTGGCGTCACGGCATATTTGTTTCCAGGCGGAACGTTAAAGAACGCGACACGCATGTCTCCCAGAAATCCTGTATAATTCAACCAATCCGATGACGACTTTGAAACTCCCGAAGTGTTTCCAATTTACTGTGCCGTATGCATCAGACGTTCAGCCAACGGTCCGTGGGCGTGACATCTGAGGCTGAGACTAGTGTACGTGTTACAGGGTGATGGCAGATGGTCTGTGAACCTTGGCCGCTTTGAATGGCAAGGACCGCCCAAGAGGCCATATGACTGACAGATGAAGCAACCAATCACGTTTCGGTTTGTGCTGCGTCAGGTTTATGGGCATGGAAATGTCCCCACAATAACAGACCATGTGTAAAACTCTTGAACGTATTTTAAAGATTGGCGTCACGGCATATTTGTTTCCAGGCGGAACGTTAAAGAACGCGACACGCATGTCTCCCAGAAATCCTGTATAATTCAACCAATCCGATGACGACTGAAACTCCCGAAGTGTTTCCAATTTTGTGTGCCGTATGCATCAGATGTTCAGCCAATGGTCCATGGGCGTGATGTCTGAGGCTGAGACTAGTGAAGAGGTGACATGTGATGTGTGCAGAAAACAAAACAAAATAAAATCGTGAAATATCCCTTGTGAACATATATTTAAAAAAAACTTGCTTAAGATATAATTTCCAACACAAAAATAATAGTGATTTTGAGATGTGCTGGAAATTTGTTTATGGCTGTTCAGGTGAGGAAAAATTAACTGATAGAATTTTCTCATGATACAGAAGAATCAAAGTGCCCAGTAGAAGAAACACCCATATATGTATACATTTCTGTGTGGGAATTTTTTTTTTTTTGGGTATAGTAGTGTGTGGTTTTGCATAAATCAGCTCTGATCTAACTATGCAGTTGTATGTGTGTGTGTATAGGTGAGAGCTCCGAGTTACAGAGTCTGAGGCAGCAGGCTCAAGAGCTGGTAGATGAGAATGATGGGCTGAAGATGACGGTTCACCGTCTCAATGTGGAGCTCAGCAGATACCAAGCCAGATTTCGACCACTCACCAAGGACGAGGTAAAATAGCTCACTGTACACCATTTTCAGGGACAGGTTTGAAAGCGTTTTAAAGACAGGTCTATAGGCTCAAACCCAGCACTACACTAAAAGAGTCAGTTTTGAAATGTTATACTTTTCCAAAAGTTACAGTGAGCATTCCCTCCCCTCAACTAAACAAAAATATTAATGTATATGTAATGGATGGGGAATCTGCATTTTCTAGCTTTGTGTAAGTTCTCAGAGCTCTGTATATATCAAGATGAGAGAGCTAAGATTCTATAAATGCACTTTTAAGTGCTTGCAAAAGAATATGTGTGGTACTTTCACATACTGTGGCAAGAAACATGCCACACAGCCTTTAATTCAAATTCTGGAGATGGTTCTCTGATATGATAAATGTTTGAGTTCCTGTACGGGACATTATATCTGCATTATTATATCTCGCTTGCCTTATCCTCTGTTTTGATGCGAGAGATCGGTGCTGTGTGATAACTGAAGTTAATTGCTGCATATCTGCATAGGCTGATTCTGGAGGGCCGCTGGAAACTATACTTCAATTTTCTTTATAATTGATGAAAAAGGAATGGGCTCTCAGAATATTAGTAGCCTCCTTTCAGTCTAACAGGGTGTGATTAGCTGACACCAAAGTAATGATATGCAACTCTTCCTTTCATCTCCTACTTCCTGTTTAATGCAGAGATGATAGTTTGCAGGGTATTATAATTTCAAAGGAGCATTAACCAGCGAGAGGTTGAGACCAGATCTGTGTGTGTGCGCGTTTAATCAGAGATTGTTTCTGCTTTACCCTTGCGTGCAGCTTGTCTTAGCCTTATGAATGCATTAGCTATCTTTTAGCACCTCTGAGATGGTGGGTAGCTGAGACACATCCAAAAATTATAGACCTTCATTTAACCATATTACTATTAATGCTTTGGTGACAACAGTATGTTGTTTAAATATGCTGGGATTTGCATGTAGGAGCATAATATCAAAAAGAGCCCTGCAACTAAACAGCTGATGTGTCGTAAGTTTTTATGAGCTTTTATGCAGTGAATAATAAGTGGAAAGCGCTCAGAGGAATTGCATAACTGAGCTTCTTTAACAAAGCCTCAGAAGAGTTTGACAGCCCGAGAGCACCGTGACCTCTTTGCTGTCCATCTTTGAAGGATCAAAGATGTCAGTTTTGTCCCGCTGGTGTCATTTTAAGGTGGAAGGGACAGATTAAGCTTATTTTATATTGATGAGGGCTGTCTGAACTCTGAGACTGTCTGGCTCGCTGGTTCACCAAGATAATGGCTCTTCTGATTGCTCAGATACTTAGGTATAATATATTAATCTGCTTTTCATTCATCTGTACAGTATTCAGATGCTTGACATGCTCCTCATTTAAAGATGAGCTTAGGGCGAACAGTCTCTAACTGCAATGAATAGAGATCTGCTGTTCACAGAACTGAAGCTCTTTCTAAAATATTCCAATTCCCATTTTCACATCTCAGGAGGTTTCGTTAATATTTTACATTTAAAAAATGATCATATCAGTTATGTTCATTTAGTGCGATTGAACATTTGACTGTCCTGGACTCTTGAACTCTGTTTGTTAAAAGACTGACTTTTATTTGAGCACTGGTGAGAGTGGAGACAATCGGCAGGCTAAATATACTCTGTCACTTTAGTTTCAGGTCAGTAGCCTGGATCTCACACTCTCTTCTGCTCTTTCTCTCCCGCTGCCCCTTCTTCCAGCTCAGCAGGATTGAAATTTAAGGAAATTTGGTTAGTTGTCACATGGGCTTCAGTTAAAGAAGACATAGACACAAGCTGCCCTTTTGAAACTAGGCTCTCTCTGTCTCCTTCGCACTCTATCCACCAGCCTTTGCTTTTTACAGTACTGTTGATTGCTTCCCTTTCTAGCCTTAAGTGGATCAGTGAAATGCTGAATGTGTCTGAACACTCTGTTGAGGGAGCGGGCCGCAGGAAGCGTGTATGGGAGGGCTGCTGCAGTGATTAGGGCAGTGGCTGGCAACAATGCTGCAATGTGATTGAGTCATTAAGCCTGGGGACTCTCAGCAGTGTTACTTTTACGCTAATTAGAGATAAAAAGTGCATTGCACACAGGATCACACCGCACTTTACAAATAAAATTATTTTAGAATATGTAGCGTTTTTAAAACTGTATAAAGAATGACTTATTTCTAATGAATTTAATGACCTATAATTTAGTTTCATTGTAACAAAGTTGAATATATAGGCTAACACCTGCTTTTTGTTGATGTCTTTGTGCAAAAAATGAAATGGTTCATGCATGGTGCTTTTGTAACAGTATGTATCAGCACTTAGAAACTAGCCCACTGCTCCACTCTTTATTCAAACAATTTAGATCACACAATTATAGATTTAGAAAATAATCCAACTAAGCATTGTGATTGCAGTCCCGCAGGCAGCCTTTTAAAAATCTCTCTCATTACGAGTAAAAAATTTTACTAAATACATAATCTGTTCAGACCTCAATTAAATCAATTCCATGAAAACAACATTGGACCTAACTCATGAGGAAAGTTGTCTCATAAGGGCTTGTTCACATTTAATTTAACATGTAAAAATGCTAAAAAGAAATCCATTGTATTACTAAGCATATTCAGTTAAAGATGTGTTATTTCTGGACCACTAGTGTAAGTAAACAGAATTGCAAAAAACACAGTTTCTGCAACACTCCCCCAGGTGTGTGTTTCCCAATATCATTGTTAGCCAACAAGTTCCGTCATAACCAACGTAGTTCATTGATTCAATGTTTCCCAAAACCATAGTTCTAAAGAACATTTGCAAATAGCATTGCAAAGTTATGTGGTTGGAACTACACTACTCAACTTGTGGTTAGAAGCTAACATGCAGTACAATCTATATATGTCATTCCACGGATATGGAATGAAAGAGAGTATGAAAGCTGAGTTTTTGTAGAGTGTGCATGTGTGAATGTGCTCTAGTACTCCTGGGGAACCGAGACATAAGAGGTGTGATTTAATCAAACATGAGAATAAAGGAAAACATCAGAGAACAAAAACAGCAAAGTAGTCCTCTGATGCTATGTACATTATTTACAACATTAATCTAACATTAATTCGATCTTGAGGCAATTAATTAGCAGGCGTTATTGCTCCACCACCTGAAAGATGTCATTAATGACAGTTGTTGAACCAACACAGTTCAAGCGACAGATATGCCAATAAAGACTATGGTTTTGGGAAACAGTTGTGACTAGCAAGTTAATTTCTCTAATGCATCGTACTATTGTAGTTAAGCTGCAAGTTACATTGTTGTACAAGAAATGCACTCAGGAAGTCTGTCTGTAACTTGCCATGTGCCCTGATGTATTGTAAATTGACAGGAATCATTCCCAATTCATAATTTTCATATGTATGTGAGAGGTCAAAGAGGTCACTTACCGTTATCAAACCTCTTTAATGTTTGAAACAATTTCACACTTCAGCTTGAAATATAAAAAATGTCAGTAGTCATCGATCAAGGTCATCTTAATATAAAAACAAAAGTGTGTGTTTTGAAGGAAGAGAGAAGATTGCAGACCATGTCACGCTCACAAAATCTCTCTTAAACTCACAATGGCAGCTTGTCCTAAAGCAACTTCTGAGCTACATCAGCTTTGAGCTGGGTGTGTGTGTGTGTGTGTGTGTGTGTGTGTGTGTGTGCGCGTGTGTCTCTCTGTCCTGAGGGGGCCATTGGCTCATGTCACTTGTGAGTTCTGAATTGTCCTCTTTCATCAATGTCCGAAAGAGGCTCATCTCTCATTGTCTTTAAAGCATATATCCACACACCCGCTAAAACACGCTCTCTATTCAGTCCCATCATGTCACTGATTTTCAATCCTATATTACTGCTAATCTCAGTCACCACATACTGCACTGCTCCTTTTGATACATTCCCTTCAACTTTACTCTAAAGAGCTGTTCACACAGAATGCATTTTTGTGTTTGTCTGCGCTGCTTTTACATTGTTTTTCTATTAAACATGCGCTAGATTGACAGTTGTGCTTGTGTTTTGCTCATTTTTGTTTTTTTTCATTTCACTGCCCTGCGTACTTTGAGTCTGTCCTATCCTTTTTATTCAACACTTCAGCTGTCTGTTTAAGAACTGGCACTGTTCTGTAATTATGTTGTGTAATTACAATACTTTTAATTTTTTTGTCACATCACAATATCTATAGGATAAAGGGTGTGAGATAATGTATAATTTCTTCAATTTCTTGTCCTTAATTTTCCTAGAACACTCAGTTAAAAGGCCTGCCAGTGAAAGGACCTGCGCCTCCTTGGCTGGTATGTAAATTGATGGTATTCTTTAGCTTTCACTGTGTGTTCGTTTCATTTAGGCTAATAATGTCCATACTGTCTCTTTCTAATGTTTCTTATTGGTTACTTATCTTAAGATGATGCATTCACAAGTTTGTCAAGCCTGATTTATACTCGACGCGTCCGTAAGTTCTCTTGGGTGCGCGTGGCAAAAATGACGTCATCACGGTGTTGGCGGAAGTGCGCGTTGAGTGCACGCGACACTATTTTGCGTGCCGGTGTGCACGGCATCTCGAGCGAACTGCTCGAGCGGCGTCTCGTAGAACATGGACGATTTTGAAGCTGTTTCGCCTGTACAGGCATCTTTATGATCTCACTTAAGACATATTTGCATGACTTAGATTTGCATGACTTACACTTGATAAGCACCTTACAACACTACTTTTATCTAAAATGTTCTTCTACACAATGGGCACAACTGAAGATCAGTATTTATTAAGATATTTTACATACAGTAAATGTTTTCACAAACACACCAAAACTTGCAAAGCACCTCACCCAAGAATTTTTATGTAAAAACATTTATATACTTGAAGCAGTTGTAGAATCATTTTTTTTTAATATTATTAAAGGGGTCATATGATGCTTTTTTAAAGATCATTATTTTGTGTATTTGGTGTAACAGAATATGTTGACATGCTTTAATGTTCAAAAAACACATTATTTTTCAAATACTGTACATTATTGTAGGTCCTCTATGCCCTGCCTCTCTCAAACGCTTCGTTTTCTACAAAGTCCCTCCTTCCGACAAGCGCAGTCTGCTCTGATTGGCCAGCTGACCCAGTGCATTGTGATTGGCCGAACACCGCAAGCACTCGTCGGAAATGTAACGCCCCTTACCATAATCGCCAGCTTCTTGAAAGCAAGAACTGTGAAACTGTATACATTTTTATACTTGTATTTTTATACTGTTAACCCAAAAGCAAATTGTAATGCTACAGAAAGTGTATTGTGTTGTTTTCTGAAAAAACAAACAAACTCATAATTGCTTGTGTGAGTGTTACATGTTACTTATCATTTCACATATGTTGTTGCGTAAAAACATTGCAATGTAGTCATTTTGATTAACTCTTCTAATATCCTCAGATTTCCCAACATTTTTCCATTCCTGTTAATTGGACTCTAGCAATTTTAAAAAGGTTAAAAATATACAAAAGGTGTGCATATCCACAAACCCAATTAGGGAACAGGTGCAGGACAATAAAAAAACCAAAGTCAAATGCCAAAAAAAACCATGAGATTTCCGCACTCTGATCCAAAAAAAGACACTTTTTTAAAACTTCACTAAAGTGATACCACCCAAGGTTAGGGCCCGTAAAACTCCTACTTCTCTGTTCTTTCCTGTTTCTTCCGAAGACGGTTTCGCTTGTGCGCCCCCTGTCGTTTCAAATAATATGACAACGTCGAACGCGTCAAGTATAAAAGACTCCAGAATTTGGGGTTGTGCGTGCGCAGTCTGCAGAAGCTCACTGAGTGGAGCCAGGCGAAAGTATAAATGAGCCTTTATGAGGACATCTCATAACATAATGCCTATTTCTTACTATGTGCCAATGTGTGTATTATTTAGCAAAGCCAGTGATGTCCTACTCTTGTCAGATTATTTCACCGCTTGTTGTTGTTGGACAGAAGAGAAATGTAGAAGAGATTTTTATTTGTTTTTGTTTAGTGATATGGTACTTGTACTCTGAATTGCCTTTAGCTGGATATGAAATATTTATCACCCCTGCTGCTGGCCTATGAGGACCATCTGAATGCCAAAGACAAACTCCTCAAGTTCTGTGAGGTGAGTTTGTTTGTACCCGTGTGAGAAGGATACTCTTACTCTTATTACATATTTTTGTGTTTATTTGCAATAATTAATTTTCTTTTGGGCATTCAAAGTGTATTAAATAACAATGGCAGGACTATGTCTGCTTTGACCTGTTACATTTGTTTTGGGAATTTTAAAAAATCAGTTACTGAAAAGGTAGAAATGTATGTGATCATTTTCTATTTTATATATATATATATATATATATATAGATGAGTTTACACATTATATATATATAAACTCATCTATTGTGTACTTCATATTGAGCAGCCTGTCAAATGCTATTTGAGTGTATTGTATTAACATGCACAGTACCAATGAGAGATGACACTGCTAGCCAGCTAGTCTTGCAAAATGACATAATATGAGAATGAAGTTCTTGCAGAGAAAGCTGATTTTAGGAGAGAGAGAAAGATCAACATTCTGAACAGATGCACTGGATATGAGCTTCTGTTAATTCACATAAAGTACAGCTGTTAATTAAGGCAAAAATTCATAAAACCCTGTGTTTAACACCTATAGAAATATAAGAGTACAGAAACAAAGCGATAACTTTCAGTCACTTCATTGGAGGAACCGCAACTGTGATTTACAGTGGCATCGGACAGCTGTGTCAGCGGTCGGAGCACTGGCGCTGTGTACTACATACAACAGAATGCAATCATCAGTATGGTACAGCAGCGTAAACTCAAGAAGAGATAAATATACATCAACACAGGACATTAAAGTACGTCATTAAGAAGTTTTTTTTGTTATATACAGGTGCATCTCAATAAATTAGAATGTCATGGAAAAGTTCATTTATTTATAATCTTAAGGCTGAAATTAAGGATTTGCACAACATCAACATGAAAGTTAGAGAAAAACATCCACGAGTTAAAAGAAAAGCTGAAAGAACAGACTGCAATGTGTTTACAGCTTAAAAACAAGGAAAATGAATCTCCTAACAACAACTGCACCGAAAGTAACTTACAACTCCATCATGAAGTGATATCACACAGCTCTACACCTCCAGACACAGTGAATTGCCATGTTAGGACCTCACTCACACACAGCCCCCCTCCCACAGAACACCAACAACTCAGCCTCCAGTAGTTCTCCTTATGGACTAAATTGGAAAGAACATTGAACCCAAGAAACTGTTCCCCAGACAGCGAGTTCTAACGCTCCACTGCAGAAACACAGAACTTGTTCATGAACTGCTCACTAATGATGAACTCATCAGCCCGTTATGTATTATCATTCATACAGGCATGAATGACCACAGTTTAAATGAAGGTACAGCCAAGGCTATGTATGAGATGGAAGAGAACATTCTCCACTACACATATACTGGTCTCCACTTTGCTCCCACGGCTCGACGTCCAACCCTCTGAGATTGATAAGATCAACGAAGAGGTCCGTCACTTCTGTTCCAGTCTGCCCAATGTACACTTAGTCCATCATAGTTCTATAAGGCCATGGCACCTGCATTATGGGCTCCACCTGAATCAGGATGTAGTCAGGATTTTTGCCAAAGCAATCAAAGATGTTGCCTTTATACACTTCCCAACAGCTGGCTATAAAGGAACAAACAGAAATTATGTGAGAATGCAGCCGTTTGATACATCTGGAACTTCATCTCACTCAAGACCACCACAAGACCTCCACAGACGACCCATGATTTCACGATGGTCTCACAGACAACAAGAGAGGAAGAGAGACGCTGAAGCCCTACCCCAGCGGCAGCCACACCCTCATCATTCAATTTAGTGATTTATTAATCAGTTTGAATGCTGTTTTACTTACTCTACTATTACGAGAACTTAGTTATTTTATTTTATTATTTATAAAAGGGTTTTGGTTTGGCCTTCAGATAAACAGCAATATTTCTTAATCGCTGATCACATACAAATGTATGTCATGCCAATAAAGCAATATATGAATATGAATATGATTTTAGCCTCACTAATCATAGGATCTATGTAATAATCTCTCTCTAATAGTCTGGTTTTCTGTCTTTGAGTCTCTCTCTCTTTCTAACACACTTGCAGTGCAGCCAACACTGCCACCAGACTTACCTGCCTTGAATTTAAAGATCTTTCCTTTCAGAGCCACGTATTATGTTTTAAAGGGAAAGCCAATTATTTTTACCACCCTCTCTCTGTAGTCAAGTGTTGAATAATCACATTCATCAGTGATATTTGTGATAAGTATGTCAAAGACAAATTCACACAAAAAACACAATGCAACTTATACTTTAAAAATGTCCCAGATACTTCTGGAAAAGCTAAGATTAAAGAGATTTATTCCTGTGTCAAGGTGTTATTTTGAGTGCTTAAACATTGGTTCTGGTGAGCGTTGAGGAGACTTTTTCACTTTGTGCACCTATGCTGAAGTTTCCGATGATCTTTGGCTGAGATGAATACATTTACAGATGCACCAGAGGACGTTCATGCATACCAATATCCTTACTTGAAGTATTTTAGCAGTTTGTGGAGTTTTTTTCCATGGCAAAATAAACATAGCCTGTGTTTCTTCTGACAGGAAGAACTACAGAGTCTGAGAGCACGTGCAGAGGAGGTAATTCAGGAAAATGAGAAACTTCATACTCAGGTCAACAAAAGCAGCACTGTCAGCAACAAAGAATGGTGAGTATGAGTGTGTTTCTATGTAATGTAAAAGTGTATGCGTTTTTGTGTGCATACACTTTTATCTTGTCTTTGAAGCATGCCTCACTTTGCTAGCCATGCTCTTATCACAGGATTGAAAGCCTGTTTGATTATGGCTGACGGTCATGGGGCTGAAGTTATGAGCATAAGAGTGAGGATGTTTCAACACAAACAGACTAAGAATATATGTCATTTTCACTGTTGAAAACAAAGAGAAAAAAATACCAGATCTGAACTATATATTTCATTAACGGTTCTTGCAGATGCATTCTGTTATTACCAGACTTGTTTATTTGTATTCAGTTGTATTTATAGTTATTTAGGTTTCCTCTCTTAAAGTCATGAAATAATCTGACATAAAATGAAAATTCACCCTATCTGTTTTCTAAATATATGTTATTGACCCTATTGTAAACAATTAATCCATACATATGTTTCTTTTTTTTTTTTTTGACCTTGTAATGTTTAATTAAAATCATAAGTCTATCTTCTGGTGAAATGACAGACTTCTCTTAATTGACTTATGCCAGACTACTGTATTCATTTAGTCTGCTTAAACTAGACTGCAAGCATGTTTCATTTCTTTGTTGCCATGGGAGCAGTGTTTGCATCAGCATGTCAGACATACAGTAAAATTGCAGCTTGATACAAATACGAATTGTGTGTCTGTAAATGTGAATGCGAGGAGCAGTCTTTTCTGCATTGTTTAATGAGAATGTAAATATGAAAACAACAACAAAAAAAAACTTTCACTTTACAGGACTACACCGCTCCCTCAAAAAAACGTTTTCCTTTTCTCTGATTTTCTGAATTTAAACCTGTTATTGAGCTGAAAAATGGGTGCGTGTGGGTTTTAACCCAAAGCTTAGAACTCAGGAAGGTAGTTTGTGTTGACTGGAATTAATGTCTATGTCCTAGAGAGGTTCTTGCTTCTGTCTTTGCATTAATTACCAGCTGTTCACAGTCAGCTCGTCTTCTTCATCAGTGAAAGAACTCTCATCCTGCTTGCCAGCCTCACTGTTCATT